AAGAAAAGAATTAAAAAAAAACCGCACCTTTGCACTAAGAGCCAGCCTATAGTACAATTTGTAAGGGCGCTAAGCCTTTTGTCTAAGATGAAAGTAGGGCTCTTTTTCTCACACAACCAGGAATAAGAATATAATCCGAAAGTCGCTAGATTAGGAAAGCTTATGATCGAAGTCTTTCACAGCCAGCTTAACATTCTCTGAAGTGTGATGTTGTCTTCAATATCTCTAAGACTAGGATTAATTGAGACTTATTATTTTAAACTTAAAAAATAAATTTATCTAATATTTAAACCGCTCCTCTATCTCCTCTCTTTCCCATCTTTGAGCAGGCCACTAAGCGGCACCTGAAGCGACGGGTGGCGGGAATAAGGGAGGCCAAGAAACCAAACCCACCCCCCCCCCCTCACCCCACCCCGAATCCCACAACGTGAAACCTCCGTGAAGCCAAGAAGAATTTCAGTGCCCTAATCCATGGTCGTCGACGTGCTCGTCGTGGCAGCGTAGGCGGGTGCTACAAAGCCAGCTGATCGATCGTGAACGTGCTGTGGAACACATAGCCTGTGATGGCCCACGCCATGACATGAAAGCTGTCGAGGCCAACCAGGCTGTCGTCGGCCATCGCGGACACGTACTGCAGCGCCTGGCCCGAGCAAGAGCCAACCAGGCTGTCTACGCCATCAACTACCTGCACATCGACCAAGAGCATCCACATCAGCCATGGTGTGATTAGTCCACCGCAGATGTTGTAAGAAAAAAAAATTAAATACAGTAATATCAACAAAAAGGGTAAATTCGTACAAACATGGGAATGAAAGACATAATTACCCTAAACTCATGAAACCATGTGACACCAGATCAAGAATAAACTCAAAGGTGAATCACCACAAAAGGTCGGTTAATCTCAATGCGAACATATTTGGATGAATGGAATAGAGATGGCAGATCAGACAGACAAGGGGAGAAAAAGAGATGGTTCTTGCTGCTTGGGAGGCAGTGGCGGACGCAGGATTTCAGTGATGGGGGTACGATGTTAAAAGAAAATATCGCTCAACATAAATGATGGAGGCCTATGTAAAAAAGAACTAACATGGACATAGTTAAAAGTAAAGTGATTTTAGTGTATAGTAAATTACTAAAATTAAACAAAATTAAGTTATAATTGATCAGAATTTTTTTGGAAATAGGATATGATGTCTTTGTCACGAACATGTAGAAAAAGTTGTTTCTTAAGAATGTAACCAAGCAATTATTTAAGTATTTTTTTATGTTCCCGATATTTCTTAATTTATTTGTATAGAATAATCAATTGCAATGTTTGTGGGAAAAAATTTAAATAGCCCTTGGGCAAGTCGATAGAGTTTTGAAGGTTCAACAAACTAATATTTTCATCGATTTTGATTATTTGAACGCTCCACAAACAAAAATATTCATAAAATATCCTATGAATTTTTTGTTGGCCAGTAGTCATCTCAGCTAGCCATCGACAAGTATGTATATATAGCCTACAGAGTAGGAAGGATTGAGATTAACTGAACTGGAATGCCAATCTAAGTGCAAATATAACCCTTTTAACCCAATTACACATATGTAATACACCATAATATGTAGTGTTCTTTTTGCAAAAATTTTGGGGGTACAGCTGTACCCCCATGTCCCTATACTGCGTCCCTATACTGTAGTTTGAGATGAGCTTGCCAACTATCAGTGAGGAGCGGTTGAGTGGTAGAATGAGGGTAGAGCGGACAAAAGGACTGCGCGAGGCTGTGAGTTGGAGGCGAGGCAAGCTGATGTCTTCGTTATGTGGCCTTGGGACGCCCACCTCAACTGTGCTGCTCCAAAAGCCTGTGCGTCGAGGCCAATGGCGGCAAGAGGCCCAGTGGTCGACAAAATTAGACTAGCTGCGGGACTAGAAGGGCCATCGCCCGTGCCACTCGGGAGGGAGCAGTCGAGGCGGCTACTCGAGGTCGGTGACGCCCCTGCCCAGCTTCTCTCTTGTTGCCCAGTGACAGATGGGGAAGAGAGGGGAGAGAAGAAGGATGGCGGTTCATTGACATGTGAGGCACTATAATGCCTTGGGAGCTCAGGTAGATCAATATTCGATGTCAACATGAAGGACCTGAGTGCTTAGCATATGAGCATGGGGAAGTTGAGGAACGTGTTATGTCTTGTGTACGGTTCAAGGACACAATTCAAATTCGATGTCAACATGAAGGACCTAGTGTGAACTTATTCTCTGAAATAAAAGATCTACGTGGTATGTGGGCTGGGCTAAATGATTCAAGGTTCTTGAAAGGAATCCAGCCATTTGCGTTGTTATCACTACTAGAAAAAAAAGTTTTTCCAGGTGGTCAAAACACATTTTCGCAGGCGGCAAAACCTTCCGCCTGTATCCAAATGACGGTAAAAATCCCCAGTTTTTGCAGGCAGACCTCATTTTTGCAGGCAGCCGTTCCAATCTTCCCAGGAGCCTCAAGTGCTACACTAACCCTGCCTTCAAAAATACCCTCGGCGCCAAAAAAAAATTCCCGCCAGCCCCACCCCTCCCTAGGGTTTCAAATCACAAATCACAAATTCTCACAAATCTCATCCAAGAAATAAAATCCAATCACAGACATTGTATACTTGCAACACAAAAGCATTAGATTCAAATTCACAACAAGTTAACATCAATGAACTTGTAAACTAAAAAAAACACGTCGTCGTCGTCAGCGAACTCCTCTATTGCATGGGGTGGCCGCCACCACCTCCCTCCCTCCTTCGGTCAGATCTGGGAGGGGAGGGCCAGTGACGCGGCTGGCACTATTCGTCATCATCATGCGGTAGGGCCGTCGTTGTCTGGTAGTCTTCGTCGTCGTGGCCGACGCCCTCCGCCCGTGCCATCGCCGACCCATCCGCCTTGCGACAACGCCGACACCCGTCCCCTCCGTCGGATCTAGGTGGGGAGGGGTCGAGGGGAGGGGCAGTGACGCGGCCGACTGTAGTTGTCGTCGTTGCTCGTAGGTGCCATCGCTGACCCCTTCCGCCCGGGCCTCCACAGGCCCCCTCTGCCCGCGCTGCCGCCACCCACCCGTGCCTCCGCCGGCCCCCTCTGGCCAGATCTGGGAGGGAGGGAGGGAGGGGCCGCGCCGCCCGCCGCAAGTAGCTGCCGCTGCCTCCGGCCGGCGGCTGGGGAGAAGAGGGGACGGGAGGTGAGGGGAGGGTAGGGGGAAGGGGAGGGACCGAGGGACGTGGGAGAGGAGTGGTGAGGGAGAAGATGACAGAAAAAAATTGCCCCTACGTAGGTGGTATTTATATTCCGAGTCTATTTTCACAGGTGGACTGGTCCGCCTGTAAAAATAAAGGGTATTTTTGCAGGCGGACCTGTAAAAATGAAGGGTATTTTTGCAGGCAGACCTCATTTTTGCAGGCAGCCGTTCCAATCTTCCCAGACGCCTCAAGTGCTACAGTAACCCTGCCTGCAAAAATACCCTCGGCACCAAAAAAAAATTCCCGCCAGCCCCACCCCTCCCTAGGGTTTCAAATCACAAATCACAAATTCTCACAAATCTCATCCAAGAAACAAAATCCAATCACAGACATTGTATACTTGCAACACAAAAGCATTAGATTCAAATTCACAACAAGTTAACATCAATGAACTTGTAAGCTAAAAAAAACACGTCGTCGTCGTCAGCGAACTTCTCTATTGCATGGGGTGGCCGCCGCCACCTCCCTCCCTCCTCCGGTCGGATCTGGGAGGGGAGGGCCAGTGACGCGGCTGGCACTATTCGTCATCATCATGCGGTAGGGCCGTCGTTGTCTGGTAGTCTTCGTCGTCGTGGCCGACGCCCTCTGCCCAAGCCGTCGCCGACCCATCCGCCTTGCGCCGCCGCCGACACCCATCCCCTCCATCGGATCTGGGTGGGGAAGGGTCGAGGGGAGGGGCAGTGACGCGGCCGACTGTAGTCGTCGTCGTTGCTCGTAGGTGCCATAGCTGGCCCCTTCCGCCCGGGCCTCCACCGGCCCCCTCTGCCCGCGCTAACGCCACCCGCCCGTGCCTCTGCCGGCCCCCTCTGGCCAGATCTGGGAGGGAGGGAGGGAGGGGCCGCGCCGCCTGCCGCTGGTAGCCGCCGCTGCCTCCGGCCGGTGGCCGGGGAGAGGAGGGGAGGGGAGGTGAGGGGAGGATAGGGGGAAGGGGAGGGACCGAGGGACGTGGGAGAGGAGTGGTGAGGGAGAAGATGATAGAAAAAAATTGCCCCTACGTAGGTGGTATTTATATTCCGAGTCTATTTTCACAGGCGGACTAGTCCGCCTGTAAAAATAAAGGGTATTTTTGCAGGCGGACCTGTAAAAATGAAGAGTATTTTTGCAGGCGGACCGCTTAAGGCGTCCGCTTGCGAAAATGAATTTTTGCAGGCGGACAACGAGCTTTACCCCGGTTTACATTTTTGTAGGCGGCTATGTGGTTCCGAGGGCCATGTCCGCGGTCCGCCTACGAAAATAAATACCCAACATCGGTGAAAATGCTTTTTCTAGTGTATTAATTAGAATCTGAAGCACTATGTACAGTATTAACATGTGAAATCCTATAAACGTACCTCAACATCAGGTCCTATGGACTTCGGGAACATCGACCATGCCTACTCTACGTAAGGCTCTCAGTAGTGAGTGTAACTCTCAAAATGAGAGTCGTATTGATGAGAATATGAGTGTGGTTGAGTGCTTCATGAAGACGCTATGTTGGTGATATTATTGTCTAGTGCTACCGACGCCGAATGGAAGATTTTCACACCTAAAGCAGGTTTCACATACTCGACATGGTGTGTGTGTTTACGGGATTTTGCTTTTCCTGTGTGCTCAAGCAGTCTCTAGGACACCATGGAAGACATCATGGAAACAGACGCCATCAAAACCACTCTGAGAACACAATATACAGCACTGAGGAGATCATTGATACATTGTAGGAGTGAGACATGAATGTGTTTTCATGAAGTACAATGCATGGAAAAAGAGTCACAACATTATATCAAAATTAATCAATCATATTAATTGAACAATTACCAAACATTCACAACAAAATACTAATACAAATACACACCCAATATTACACAACCACATATCCGACAATAATTAATGGTTATGACTTCTCCTTACAATGGAAAACAACATACATGTAAGTAAAAAACAGAGAGAAACACATATGCATGCTTGACTCTGTTGTACAATTAATTAGTCGAGCTAGCAAGAAAACGCCATGCATTAAGCGAGCTGGTGTTTTATTCTAGCTGAATTTGCCATGCATGCAGAATCGTACATCTGCTTGCAAAAAAAAAAAGAAAAGAAAGAAAGTAAAAAAAGAAAGAAATTAATAGCTCCATGCAGACCCTTGTTTGCATGGTCAATTAATTAGTTGCCAAGTGACCACATGAGATAATGATGGACAACCTTAGCATGGCTTGATGCAGATACAGTTTCGCACGAAGGTGCTGCACCTGCCGTCGACGAACCCCTCCGTCCGACACACGTTTGCGCAATTATCTTCCACCATGCAAAACCCCTCGAATCGGAGGCTCTTCGTCTCGCACGGCCTGACTGATGATTGCGCTGGCGCCAACGCCTCTGCCAACAACTCACACATAATATTAGTCCTTACGGTCGCAAAAATAATCGGTTTAGACTTTTCGGATCGAAGTATAAAACATAAATGTAAGAAGATGGTTTTTTTTTTGCATAAACCTAAAAAATATAGTAGTTACACGTGTAATAATATAATGAATGTTCATGTTCCCTTTGCTACCAACTCAAGCATAGTATTACTCGTTATAGTTGGTTTAGACTTTTCGGATCAAATAATAAGACAGAAATGTAAAAACTGGTTTTTTTTTCATAAACTTAAAAAAGATAGCAGTTTAACAAGTGTAATATAATGAAAGTGCATGTTATAACAAACTTAGCTAAGTCATTTTAATATATAAAAAAAACCTATCGTCAAACAATAAATAATATATGATGATCAAGGAGAACACACATACCAGTGGCAACAACAAGAAGTAGGAGGACGGCGATTGCTGGGAAGAATTTACGCATTGTCTCCATTACAATTATTATGTTAGTACTAACCACACACTTCTCAGAAAATTAATATATATTTTCAAATTATTCAGTCTTTTGTTTGGGAGGGAAGGGATGGCACCCTGCTTATATATGCAAGGGGCAGCGGCATGCACGGGATTAACTAGAACCACATATGCCCTCGTTGGCTAGGAGTACAAACAGGAAAATGTCCCTGCCATATATAGCCACTGGCTAATATTGCAGGCACTCTACTGGCCACAAAATGCTTGCGCGCGTCCTTCCAGTCGCACCAACTGGTTCCAATTTGATTCATCCCACGTTTCCCACCTACTCAATGCCTCATCTATCTATTACGAGTTCATTCTCAATCCTGCAATCCTTCAGATCCACTATCACGTGGGACCCACCTGTGATCGCCCAAAGAAACCTCATCGTGGGCAGACCACTTCGCGCACGAAAAAACAACGAAAAAAAAGAACGCCAAAAAAAAGGCGCATCTAACCTCCGCCCCTCAGCCATCCCCACGCCGCTACTTCCGCCCGCCCGCGCGCCCTTCCCTCCCCACGCCGCACCGGCGACCCTGACCTTGACGCGGCCAAGGTCTCCCTCGGCGCCATCTCCCAGGTCACTCTCGCGTTGCAGCCGCTATTTAAGCTGTCGGTTGCGTTTGTGAACCGCAACGACTCGGACATCGCCGAGATGGTCGCCATGTGGGGCGGCCTCCACGAGTTCGGCGACGTGGCGTCGCTGCCGCGGCGGCGCATGGTCGTGTACCGCGAGCACGGCCGCGCCGCCGACCACGCGGGCTTCCTCGACGCCGTCGACCCTTTCCTGAATCTCTTTTTTTTTTACTGAATCACCCACATACGAATCAATTTAGAGATTTACCTCCATTGTTGCATCCATTAACTGATGAGTTAGGAGATTTACTAAATCTGATTTCTGCCTGTTCAGTAGATAAGGCTCCAAGAGAGACATATGCTGGCTATTACTCGGTGCGGTGAATTATACAATGTTAGTATCAAGTATTAGTTTAATTAGCGAGATTAACAAACCACGCTACCAGCTCAACATTGTTCCTCAATCATTGTCTGTTGTCACTGCCTTATCGACTTGGCAATGGGAAACAATATATCAAAAGTATTTTGAGTTGTACATATTTTCTTAATCGTTATAGATTATGAATTACCAGGACTTACATATATATTCTAGACCTAGGTCATATTTACACAATACACGTAAATAAACAGATTCTTGTACTTATAATATGCTCAATTTAATTTATATTGATCATAACGTGTACTACACGTGCACGATTGCTAGTTTACTATCAATAGAAGCAGCTATTCTAGAAATTAACCGTTCACTCTCAGCATTTTTTGGATCTTACCAAACCGAGCGGCGCCAGGATGGGCTCCTCGACGTCGACGGCAACCGCCGGCCAGCCGGCCACCGCGACCTCCTCAGCGTCAACACCGTACACCAGCAACGGGAGGACTGCTGCGAGCCTGCAGATCAGCAGGCGTCAGGCGGCGTCGCGACAAGCATCAGCCACCAGCAGATAAGCTAGCAGAGCAGGCTACCGAGATACTGTCTGGTGAGTCACTGAGTATCTGAAATTGAATGTTAGTCTTGCTGCCTATATTGGCTATCTCTCTTCATTGACTGCAAATTATTAATCTGTAACCTATTGAATGAGTAATTGAGAATATCCAAGACTTTAGCCTCATGTTTTATAGTTCTGAATTATTCGTAGATTTGCAATGGATAAGAAAACAAAATTTTTAAATTATTTACCTTCCATTTGTCACCGATTTTGATATATTTATTTATTGTATGACCAAAATAAAAGTTTTAGATCTTGATGAGTTATTCAACTTTGTTGTTGATAATTTTTCAGTTGAAATCATTTAGTATTTGAAAATATTGTTTGAAGTTGTCATATTTTCAAATTCAAATTCAAACTGTTCAAAAAATGTTATATAGAAAAATGACCAAAATAAAAGTTATAGATGTTGATGAGTTATACAACTTTGTTGTTGATGACTTTTCCATTTGATATCATTTACTACGCGTAAAATTGATTTGACTCATAAATTGAATTACTATACTGCAAGTTAATTATTTTGCTATAGTTCAACATACAAATATAAACATTTCATATGTAAAATGGAAAAATGCTCATCGGTGACGGGCTTTAGTTAATGCCCAATAGAGATTAAGTCATGTCAACCGGGGATTAATATATAGTCCGTCATTGATGAGTCATCTATGACGGGCCTCAAGTTGGTGTACGTCACGGATGATGGTCATCTGTGACGGGCCCCAACTTAAGGCCCGTTTGAGATATGGAATGTTATCTCAATTGGGTCTAAAGTTGGTGCCCGTCACGGATGATGGTCATCTGTGACGGGCCCTAACTTCAGGCCCGTTTGAGATATGGAATATTATCTCAATCGGACCTAAACTACGGCCCGTCACTGATAGGTGTCATCTGTGACGGGCTTAAGTTTTACTGTAACGAAATCTATCTACTAATAGAAGGTGTAATTTGTTTACTGTAACGAAATCTATCTACTAATAGAAGGTGTAATTTGTTTACTGTAACGAAATCTATCTACTAATAAAAGGGGAGGGAGAGTTATGCAAGTAATTTTGTTACTACAAACGTAATCCATCGAATAATATGAGTGAATGGGAGTAGTTATAATTTATTTACAACAGCTTATCTAGACAAGTGAAGCGCAGTAAATGTAATATTTTACTACATCTTAATCTGTCTATCTAGAGAACGGGGGATGAGCCTGGGACCGTGGGGAAAAAGGGGTAATAATTTTACTGTGTCCACGGGAGCGGGGACAACGGGAAAAAAAAACATTGAGTAATTCTTTTAAGGATTAATTTGTGCAGGGAGCCAGAAAAACAGGGAAATAAGTGGAACAGATAGCAAAGGGGAACGGAAAAAAGGAGCGTGGGAGCCAAACAGAAAACTAAATTCAGGGGTAACGGAAAAACGGAAAATTCGGGGGGAGGGGGTGGCGCAGTAGGGGCTAACTGCGGCGTGCGGATTACAATTCCGAGCGCAGGGAGTGGATTAGCGCTACCATAATTTTATGGTATTTTTCTAGAATTTAATTCACTAATAGTAGTCTAACTTGTAAAGTTATATATGATTTACTTAATTATGGATCACACTCTTGTTTAATTCCACGGGTACAAGTCTTAAGTAGACCGGTCGCTATCATGTTGGACGCTATACTAGCCTAATATTTGAAATTTCGTGAATTCTAAAGAAAACTTATATTGGTTTCTATCACATTCTCCCACATTACATACTACCTCCGTTTTTTAATAGATGACGCCGTTGACTTTTTCTCATATGTTTGACCATTCGTCTTATTCAAAAAATTTACGTAATTATAATTTATTTTGTTATGAGTTGTTTTATCACTCATAGTACTTTAAGTGTGATTTATATCTTATACATTTGCATAAAATTTTTGAATAAGACGAATGGTCAAACATGTGATAAAAAGTCAACGGCGTCATCTATTAAAAAACGGAGGTAGTATATTTTTTGTTTTGTTATTCATGAGTGGCCTAAAAGATGTTAGTACATTCATTAGGATCTTCTACTCCTTAACATAGCTAGTTTGATCACCCCTTTTGTTTCTTTTCCAAATTATCGCAGCCCTATCGATCATCTACCATTTGTTGATCTATCACTATATATGTACTACAGATCCAACCACAAATCATCTCTGACGGGTCAGCACGACTTGTCATAGATGTGAGGTTATCTGTAACGGGTTGTAATTGTAACCTATTACAAATATGAAGGTCTGTTAATGCTAAAATTTGGTACGATTCTTTGGTGAATTCGGTTAAGGAAAGAAGCCAATTAGTAGATAGATGTTTTATCCAGATCAAGCTGAATTTAAAGAGAAATCGCGAAGACCACGGCAGAGGCAGTTTCATATTTTTAGTATAAATCTTAAATAGGTAGGATTAGTTATATATTCTCATTTTCTTGTTTGGAGTCTTATCTCGTGTTTGATCAAGACTTGTACCAACCTGAGGGTATATTTATGTACACCTGCAGTCTTTGTAAACTATCTTTCATAGATTAATACAATTACTTTCTGTGCATCACCACCTTTTATTCTAGCGAGTTCCTAGTTTCGAATTAGACTGCATCGGTTTTGATCTCCGGCAAGAAAGTAAGTTCTATCAACTTCGCTTGTATCGGCATAGCTAGAACTTTCTTAGTTAGGTCTGATATTCTATTTAGGTTGATGCAAGTGTTGCCTATCAGATATATTGAATTTATCTTTAACTGCATCACTATTTAGAATCGTATCAGCTTAAGTTAGGACTTTATCATTTAAGTCTGATATTCTAACTAGGATGGTATCTTTCTAATCTAATCATATTGCAATTTTAGATAGATTTATTATATCAAACATGTTTGCGTAGATCTATCAGCTAAGTAAGTTTTTCTTATTATCTTCAATCTTATAATGTCTCGGTAAGGTCCCATTCATTAGATTGCTACTAATAAGTTTAATTCTAGTAAGCGATATGTTTTTATGTAATGTTTTATTGGAGTTCTAGCTGATGAGCTATCATTATTATGAGCTTTAGCTATCAGATGTATCGGCTAACTAGCCGATATACACGTGAATCTACTTGCGTCGGATTAATAGACGATGTATGCTTTAACCATCAGATCTACATCCTCCACACTATATCAGGCCGATTGGTTCGTTGGTTCAATTCTTTCTGTCGTCCTTGTTAGTTGCAAGATCAAACTAACTGGCCCAACCAAAGCCTGATTGATAGTACCTATACTAGAGCTAAGCAAATCTCCTTGGCCTTCGTGTAGATGACGAATTTCACGTCAACAGGGTCACAACCATGTCCCTTCATAAATTGCATGCCATCTATGATGAGTGTAGTGGTATGAACCGTCACACATAAGTGGTGATGTGATCCCGTATCTATCACAGGTCGTAATTGCCACACGTCACAGATTGTAACACGCCAGGTAAACATGTACTTAGAATGCCACACCTAAATATACTCAAAACCATTAACTCTCAAAATTATTAGAAATTTTGGCAGAGTATCCCCTATAAATATGGACATCTACAATATACAGTTATAGGATTAAACTAATGATAATATAATTCCCACAGTGCTATCCATCCATATAATCCATCGAAAGAAACTAATAGACAGCTAAAAGATTATTACAAGACCAAACTAGGATATAATTCAAGTGTCATTATGGCACTACAAGAGATCTTATAATAGATGACGCTCCATTTACGTCACAATCGTTGAATTTTTCGTCACGTTTCGTAATCTGTGACGCTCGTGTGGCGAAAATTCATTCGTCACCTATCATGCATCTCTAAGGGCGTTCTATCACGAAACCTTAATTTTTCGTCATTAATCTAGTGATGATCCTTCTGTCGTTATAACTTTGTGACGCACATATTCGTCATTATCTAGCTAAAAAATGTCATAAAATATCATGTGCCTTTTAAGGCCCATGTAGTGAGCAACCTATTTTTGGGCTAGGCCTTGTTAAGGCCCATGTAGTGAGAAATCTATTTATGGGCTAGGCCTATTGGAAGTCTAATTAGATTTTAATAAATTCAGCCCAATTATACTATATCCATCTATATTGAATTAAATATTGAGTGGGCTCTATATATTCAAATGGCCCAGTAAGCTCAAGCATTACAATGAAATTGCATCTGGGCCATGCATACTCAAGAGGCCCATATATCAAACAGATTCCAAGTTAAAAT